GATTTGTATCATCAACCGTAGTAGTAGTAGTAGTAGTAGTAGTAGTAGTAGTAGTAGTCGTAGTCGTAGTCGCAGTGGTAGTAGTAGTAGTAGTAGTAGTAGTAGTAGTAGTAGTACTAGTACTAGTACTAGTACTGGTACTAGTACTAGTACTAGTACTAGTACTAGTACTCGTACTAGTAGGAGCAGTAGTGGGAGTAGCAGCAGCAGTAGCAGTAGGAGCAGTACAAGAGTAGAAGTAGTAGCGGTAGTCGTGGTAGTGGTGGTAGTATTACTACATTGTTCCGGGAAACTGAAAGTCAAGCCGCACAAAATGACGATTATTTTGTAGCCGAAGGGGGGGGGGAATGTGCGAGTGGTGCAAGTGGTTCAAATGGTGCAGGCGGTGCAAGTGGTACACGATTACCATGATTACCAATGCGAAGGTAATTTCGCACCCTCAAATGGCAAAAATTACAGTGCCAGAATAACTCGTAGCAGCAGTAGTAGCAGTAGCAGTAGTAGTAGTAGTAGTAGTAGTAGTAGTAGTAGCAGTAGTAGTAGTAGTAGTAGTAGTAGTAGTAGTACCAGTAGGTACAGCAGGTAGCAGGAGGAGGAGCAGAAGGAGCAGTAGCAGTAGTAGCGGTAGTATTAGTAGTAGTAGTAGTAGTAGTAGTAGTAGTAGCAGTAGCAGTAGCAGTAGCAGTAGCAGTAGCAGTAGCAGTAGCAGTGGCAGTACTAGTAGTAGTAGTAGTAGTAGTAGTAGTAGTAGTAGTAGTAGTAGTAATAGTAGTAATAGTCGTGGTCGTAGTAGTAGTAGTAGTAGTAGTTGTTGTTGTAGCAGTAGTAGCTGTCGTAGTAGTAGTGATAGTAGTAGTAGTAGTAGTAGTAGTCGTCGTCGTTGTTGTTGTGGTAGTAGTACTTGTACTTGTACTTGTACGTGTACGTGTACGTGTACTTGTACTTGTACTTGTACTTGTACTTGTACTTGTACTTGTACTTGTACTTGTACTTGTACTTGTACTTGTAGTAGTAGTAGTAGTAGTAGTAGTAGTAGTACTGCTATAGTAGTAGCAGGAGTAGCAGCAGCGGCAGTAGCAGTGATAGTGGTAGTAGCAGTAGGAGAAGTGACGACAGCAGCATCAGCAGCTGCGGCCGCTGCTGCTGCAGACGTGGTACCTCGTTATCGTTCTTGTTCGCGCAGACGCTGCTGTGTGTTATTGCGGGTGTTGCTGAAGCTGTCGATGTCGCTGCTGCTGCTGCTTGCTGGTGCTGTGGCGGCTGATGCCCATGCTTTTGGTGCTGATGGGTTCTTTGTTGCTGGCAGAATGTCTAATGGGACGCTTGAGTCCGTACCGTGTAAACCTGGGCTCCAAGCCATGGCAGCATCACGATCTTCTGGTGGCTTCTCAAGCCATCTCCTGCGAGGTTACAGTAGATCCAAGCAAATGCATGGTCGTTGCGGATGCCATACTGTTGATGATATAAATCCTGCATTACCTTCAGGACCCTAAACCATGGGAATTATGGTATATTCCTTATTTTGGGTGCTGCAGGATTTACATCATCAACAGTAATTTAGTCTGTCACACCTATCACCTATCCGAATGATTGGTTTGCCTGGTAGATGTGTCATGCTGCACTGTTGCACCAAAGTGAGAACCTCCACACGCGCTGGATGCGCATCACCCTGGTGATCCTTGGGAATTTCTCAATATTCAACCGGCACTGAAAAGGACATCTTTGCATTAACACGAACCGACAGCATTGCAGATGTACTGCTGGAGTTGCTTCGTCGAAGTGCTTAAAGTTCCAAATCATGCTTGTAGTCTTTGTCAAGCTGAGCATCAGGTGCAGTCGGCGTCGCTTGACGAGGAAGCCTCTTGCATGAGCCTGCAAGCACCAAAGAGCCAGCCCAGTCGAAGTCCCGAAGAGCAACTCAGACTTCTCGATCAATGGTCGAACGAGCCTCAATGTAGGTGGCCTTCTGCGCTTTCACCTGCGCTTTGCAACTAAACTGGGCACTTCCAGATTTGTAAAAGCTAGAGGGAGAGGTCTGTGCAAGGCCGCCTGGTGCCACAAGCGCTTTCTTAGCGCATGGCCTCTGGCTACTCTTTGGATGCGCACCTGAGCGATCGATATCCATGACATGCCATGACCCCAGGCAGAAATCCGACAAAGCTTTGCAGGAGCTAAGCTCGCGGGCAGCGGCAGTCCTGGCTCTGGCGTAGCGCCGCACAAATCGTATCCGCACGAGAACTCCGCGCACCAGGGCCTGGAGGCAAGAAGCCGAGCTAGAATTTTAACACCTTCACCCCGTGCCCGTCCCTCTCCCAGGCCCTCAGAGGCCAAAAGGAAGCGGATCCCAGTACTGTCCCGTGAGGCCTGGATCCGCTGCGCTGCTCGGAATCGCTTGCGAGCGCGCTCAAACCTGGGCTCTTCGGAGCTGTTGCCACGGCAAATGATGGCAAAAAGTTCAGGAGTCTGGTAATCACAGGTGCCGTTCTTCGGGAAGGGCTGATGTAAGCTAGGCATCCTGCTCGGCACGCGCGATTCTGCGGCGAATGCGCCCCACCTAGAAAGAAAGCTGAGTATCTGCTCAAACAACCCAACGGCCGTGGAACGCACCACTGCAGCACGTGGAATTGCTAGAAATGTTCGTCACATCACCTCCCACACACCTCACACGTTGCAAGCTCATGTCTGCAGGCACCTTGGCACGGGCTAGCCAACCACGGATGTTTCTCTCGATCATAGCCTTGGCGGAGCTGCAACGACAGAAGGCATGCACGGCACGTGAGCAAATCATGTCGGTGAAGCGGCCTAGTTCACGCCAACCCTGTCCCTCTGCCACCGTGGGCTGACAGCCCCATTGTTGTTCTCATGTATACTTGCTTATAATTACTTGACAAGGCGTTTCGGAACATTGAGTTCTGCTGCGAAGCTCATCACATGCAAACGATTTGCATGTATCCAGCAAGGAGCTGATGATGCAGAACCCCAAAGCAGCTCGGCTCAGCTTGGCACGGCAGCCATTTCCTTCTGCCAAACCTGCTGCAACGTGAAAGGATTAACGAAACTGAAGTGGCAGGGGCCGCATGCAAGGCTGGCCAACTGAATGTGCGATCTCCCCTCTCCCTCTCTCCCCCTTTCTGGTACCTCCTCGTATTTAGCTTCCCACTTCACGCGGCCCAGGTACCTGCTGAGCGCCCGAGTCTACACACGGAGCTTGGCAGGCAGGTAACGAAGTTGAGATACTCAGAAAGGCCTGATGAACCATGCAGGGGGCACCCACGCCACACACGCTGAATCTCTAAGGAGGCCCACAACTCTTCTTCCGCACGGACTGCCTCAGCCCATCTGCAGATGTCACATCGACATGAGAATCGTGAGAGGTATGGCCAGCGTCTTTATGCGAACTAACTGTTGTGTTCTCTGCCATCCACGTGAGTTGCAGTCTCCAAGTCCATGACTTGTCGCCACATGCGGAGCCGCACTAGAAATCCGCGGGCATATCGCTGGATGGTGATGACGTTGTCGACGTGCCTCACCGTGAGCAATATCCCGGATGATTTCACTTAAAACTTGGGGCTGCCATAGGATCCTGGTACGACCATGTTACTTCGGGTTTGTAAACACGGCGACTTCATCACCCGGAAGGTGCCTTGCAAACTCTTCCATGAGTTGTTGGTACCTGCAGGCGGGTCTCGCTTCATCGCAAGAGCGTTATGGCTGCTCGTCTCTGGTCGGGAGTCATGACTGGGCAGTCGCACTTTCGCCGGGTCTTCTTTCCCTTCCACAGCTTGCGGATGGTCGTGGCAGCCTGCCAAGAGACCAAACCGCCAGAACATGTCGACGCCAGTCTACGGGCTCACTACAACATGTACCAGCATGAAGAGCATTTGCGTCTTGCACCTTGTTCATCTCCTCGAACTTGTCCAACCTGATCTTGTCCACCTCAACACAGGTGGCTGGGCTTGGAAGTAGGATTTACAAATTTACGAGCCATGCTTGGTCGGGCCAAATTGTCGACATTCCTGACTCTGACTGTACCTGTCGTCACTGCGAACCGTGCTGCAATATGACTGCTTTGAAAGCCACTCCTTCATATGCCCACTCCTCTGTCAACCTGCCCATCTCGTCGAACTACGGAAACAAGAAAACATTCCCCCATTCCCGTACTCATCATCCGAAGCAAAACAAATGCGTCGGCTTCACAAGTGCAAGGATCCGACTCTTTTGATGGCGGCATCTCGTCTCGCCATAGCCTGCCTGTTGAAAGCTGGTACTTGTCTAATTGTGCAGGTTGGTGTAACAGTATATACCGTAGTCTGGCAGTCTAACAGCATATGAAATAGCGGAAGTGATCGATTGTGCAGAGTAGCCTGTCTGGTGTCCAGCAGAGTATCTGCGGAACGTGTGACATGCAGATTGGGTGTTGTGTCGCAACGAGACGCCGCACTCAAGGTGCTAGTTAGTCATCGTGAGAAAAGTGTCTACAAGTCTGCCGCACTCGTGGCAGAATACGGCCTGTGTCCATGGTGTGCTGCCTAACCAAAGGAACCCGTGCAAAGACCCGAGAGGCCGGCAGTTTCGTTGCAGCTCTGTGCTGCTCCATAGCTGTATTGTACCTCCCAATCCGAGGGCTAATGATAAGGCGAGTAGCCTTTCGCTCCTTCAGGGTTTAGGGGTTTAGGGTTTAGGGTTTAGGGTTCAGGGTTTAGGGTTCAGGGTTTAGGGGTTTAGGGTTTAGGGGTTTAAGTGTTTAGGGTCCTTTTTTTCTGGGACCCCGGCTCAGCCAGCTTTTCAGTCGCTTGGTTCCTGCCTGGCATGGGCAGAGGCAGATGGCGGAGTCCGGAGCTGGTTTTTTGTGGAGGCTTCGAAAAGTTGCCAATATTATTTTGGCCCAAAGGGTCCAAGTTATATAGTATATACTTTGGGGGCCCAAATACCTGCAAAGTAGCTACCATATTAGTACTTGGACCCTTTGGGTGGGGCTTCCTTACTATAAATACCATAAATATAGTAAAATAGGCCCAAAAAACCCTAGTCTAATTATTAAGGAGAGCCTTGGATGCCGCGGTAAATCCGCTGGATGTTGACCGCTCCGGCCACTCTGGCCTGTCACACGAAAGGGCGGCTGTGGCTGAAATGCACCATGCAGATCTATGCATGGTGCTTTGGCAGCAACTGAAACCAAGGCAAGCAACACCCTTCATCTGACTGCCTTCGCTAACAATGTCTACCCTCAACAACCACAAGAACACGTATTCTGCCACACAGCCGCCCTCTTCAGTCTACATTGGGCCAGTCAAACGAATCATTGAAAAGCCTTCCAGCCTTTTTGAGTGACCTCTGAAAGAAAGCCCTCCGCGTGAAGGCCCGGCGGCCAGGCCTTTGCATCAGCGGCTGCATCCCGCCGAACCTGCACATCTGAAACCATGTGACATGGTGGTATCCACTCTCGCGTACCTACCGCCGTGCCTGGGACAGGGGTGATAGCACTGGCAACGCGATCAATGAGCTTAGGGTCTGGCGGTGTCTCTAGCTTCAGAATTTTATAGCGGAGCCGCAGACGAACCGAATGACAGATGTAAAGTAAGTCATCTTCACGGATGTTATGCTGCTGACCTTCTTGATACGTGAATCTTTTGACATCAAGAAGCAGGTTAACCCAACACCCAGGTGAACCGCAACAGCATCGCAACAATCTTAACAACTTAGCACCAGTGCCCACACTGCACCTACTCAGAAACAAGATGCTGTCATCTGTGCCTGCACTCTCCGTCGCGCTTGGTGGCAACCTTTGCAACTTGCTCATCGGTCAACAAAGCTATGGTCGCAGCCGAATTCAAGCAGGCTTCCACAAAAAAACGCACTTACACAGTCTCATCAAGATTGGATGTGCAGCATCTCAAATGCATCAGTGTTGACCTTTTGTCGGCCAGATGCTTCCGCTGCTTGCTCTCACAGAACGGGTTTTGGGAGCGGGCGGACGGCACACTGAATTGTCAAAGCCTGGCCATACATTGCACGCATCGTTCGAAGAAGGATAGCTCAGCTCAAGGTACTACCCTCATCACAGCAAGCAGCCGTGCTGACTACTGCAAGCTTGCTAATCAAGCCAACCGTGGACCATGCATGCTTATGCACCGCAGTTAACGTTGCCAGTGATGCCAGCTGGTCCATGCCTAGACGTTTCTTTTTCACACGTCTTCTTCCCTGAGTGCCATGGGACGCGAGAGCGGGCTCACTTCAAGAACGTTCAAGGAACATCCAGGACATGCACGAGGAAGCCCCGGATGAGCGACTGGGCTTTGACCTGAAAAGCACGACATCTGAGGGGCCGCCACTTTTGGTGCAAATCTGTATTACCATGACGGATCTGAGGCACAGGCGGCAGCCCGATGTTTTGCACGAAGACGATTACCTGAGACGCTGAGTCTTTTCGATTGTTGGTGCCTGTTTTGACACAGCCTGAGCTGAGGATGAGCAAGACTGGGTGGTCAAAGAGCAAAGTCGAGTCGAGCCCTTGGCGAGTGATCACTCCTCTGGCATGCCGCTGGATGACGATCTTGGCAAGCCATGGAGCATCACAACATGGAGGACAGCGGCTATTGCAATCAGTTCGTGCATTTCCGTGCACATGTCCTGCTTGCATGGTAAGCGCTGGTTTGAGGGCATGTCTCTGGACGCACACATGCACACTCTTATTCAGCTAAACAGCAGATCCTCAAAAGGTGGATTCTACAGTCCGAAAAGATACCTTGCTTGAGGACTACCCACCATGATACCAAGTCGCTGCTTTGCGCCGCTTTGACAGCAGACGACGCACCAGAAAGGCACGGATGATTCTGTCAGGGCAGCTCAGGACGAGGGGACCATGCCACAACACAACTTTAACATGTCTTACCGCACATCCGCGATTGAATGGTAAGAAATCAACGGCCTCTGGATGGTTGTAGAAGCCTTGTCCAACTTCTTGCGCTTCACATGATAGCAGCGCCACCTTGCCTGACATTGAAGTAGCTGCGAGGTGCGCTGTCAGCTTGGCCGTGCACTGTGCAACGCACGGATTCCCACTGCCTGGATCATGGTCGCTGCTATCCATGTTGTCACGAGCCAATCCGAGTTGTCTTGGCCTAAGTCAGCAAATCAATTTGGCCGTGGCAGGTTTCTAGCAATGTGCCTCAGGGCAGGCTGCCCTGCGAAAGTCAAAACCAAACGCAAGCAGAGCTTGAGCTGATGGCAGTACTTGTACCAAGCTCGCCAAGTCCTCCCGCGAGCAGCCACGCATTCATGCGATGCCAAGGACAGGAGGCCAACTCCGACATGGTGACGGCAGCAGCAGCCGCCTCTGGATTCTCTCGGCCGCAACCTTGCGCATGAACTCGTTCTTCCTGCACGCATGGGGGTAGTTCTCTAAATTAGGGTCCCTTTTTAGGTTCCCAATATAGTATAAAAAGGACCCCCGAAGGGACCCTAATTTAGAAAACTACCTTTGGAGGGATGAAGGGATGCTAACAGGGTTGGAATGGAAACGGAGACACAGCCACGGGTGCAGCCGAGCTTCTGCTGCTCTACGGCGCTGAACTGTCGACCCTGCATGACCTGACGCTTCCGCAATGCACCCGACAGTCCCAAAATGCGACTGGAAAGTGTCTCTGAGCTGTCACACATGATGGATACTTTTTGAACTTTGCATTACTTTCGTAAATTTTTACTGAGCACAAGGCCTGATCTCGATTGTGCGTCGTGTTCCAGGCACCTTGCTAAGTCCGCACAGTCAGTGTCTTCCAACACCATGAAGAAGCTCGATGATTTCACCCGACTCATCCTGTGGTCGGCACAGCTTCGTTGCAGCACTCGAGACGTCCTAGTGCTGCCCTGCCAGGTCGCAACTTGAACACTGCGCCCACAGGTGTAAATTGTTAGCTAGCACGACGATGACTTCCAAAATGTGGTGGAGATGACACTGGAGATGTCACCGAGAAGCAGCAGCAACCGGAGCAGTAGGAGGAGCAGGGCAGCACTCGTGTTACCAGCAACATTCGCGGTCCTCTTCTTGTTGGTGTAGTCGAAGCACGAGAGGCAGAGGGAGAGGTAGCGCAGAAGCAGGAAGAATGCTACTCATGGCATAGAACTTGAAACCACGGCTGCATGAAGAAGCCTTGATCATCCGGTTTGGCCGGAAGTCGTTGGGAGCAGCCCGCTTGGTCCGTGCAACCTCGAAACTAGGAGCAAAATTGGACGGAAATGCACTGGAAATCGAAGACATCCTATTGCCCCCCTAGCTTCCCCTAGTGTTAAGAGCGAACTAGGGAACATATAGGAAATTCCTAGGAAAGGAACACAGGTAACGTAGGAAAACGTGAACAAATAAGAAGACAACACATAGGCAACAGTTGCAAAACAATAAGGCCTGTTGTTTCCCCTACTTGTTGCTCCTACTTTTCCTGTATTTTCCGCTCCATTTCATACGTGTCTGCTGCGTTCTTGGGGATATTATTTTTGATTCTGTATTTCATATGTTGTTCGTACTTAATTTATGTTGGAATCTGCCGTTCTTCCGATGTCATTCCCGTCTTAATATTAGTAGCACTCGTAGCACTGGTCCGAATGATGACGCTGGCGATGTACGGCTGAACCGTAGCTCATTTCACGCTGTCAGCTCCCACCTGAAGACCGGTTCGGCTGGCATCGACGATCTCCGCGATGTTTTGAGGAACCCCGTCCAGTGCCTGGCACATGGAGTCAGGAGTCTCTCTCTCTCTCTCTGAATCGCTGGTCGATTCGCTTGCTCAAGTCTACTCTGGCTCACACCCAGGCATGTGGCTGCGCCCAAAACTGAACAGCGCAGGCTGGCACAACGAGCGCAGACACTTTTGGCTCTGAACGCAGGCAATGTCTACAGTTGCAGAATTTGGGCTGACCGAGATGGAACTGAAAGCATGAAAACACGACTCTGGTTTGCTGCCCAAAGTCTGCAAGCCTAGATTGTTCGACAGGCCCGAGAAGGTGCGCAATTTCACCCCTTCACATGGGCCGGGGCGATGCAGAAACAGCTGGACCGAAAGTGCTCAAACATGCTCAAACTTGTGTTGCACACTATTGACTGTTCAGTTACTTTTGTGAACTGTCATTGATAACCGTTGATGATTATAGCTGATGACACCGAAGCTGCTCAGGTATGGCCCCCTCTGCCGCGTTTGCGGCAAAAGCTCCCGAATCCGCCGAAGTTTCAGCATAACCTAGGAAGCCTTGGGTCTGGACTCTCGCTGTCAGGATGTCGGGCACCTGTCGGAAACAGGAGTTCCGTGAGATTTGGAGAAATGCTACAAAGAGAGGTGAGCATCGAGGCACGAGCCTGGCCCAACAAAAAGGCGGCCCCTCCGGCGCAAGGCCTAAAGAGCCCCAGCAACACAACGACCAGCAACAGCAACAAACAACAGGACGAAACGACTGTCGACTCGCATCCGGAGTAGACCCCACTCCCGCGGCCCCGCGGCTGCCGTGAGCGCCGTGGACGCTGGAGGGGAGGTAGCGCAATCCCAATCATGACGCTTGCTAGGTGTCGCCTCGAAAATGGTGTCCGGAGTACACCCTACTCCCTGCCTGGCACTGTCACTCCGTGTTGGTCCTATCCTGCTGACGGTCGAGGTGCTCGCCGGTTTAAGATGAGGAGACCCTCGCACCTCGTGCCTTAGTGCCGCCCCTGAGGGCCCTCGACCGCCAACCGGCAAGGAAGAATCCCCAATACGGACCAGGAGGTGACGAGAAACATAAACCTTCCGATTGTCAGACTGTCCTTCACAGTAAATACAACCATCAGTCCTGCAGGTGCTCAATGCATACCGACATTGAACCAACGGGGTGCAAAGACACACCCTCACATCCGACAGATCAACTGCCAACACCAGTCCAAATCGACTTCGAGTTTCCTATGAGCTGTTACGACACGGCCAGGTCTTCTAGGCTCAGTTTTTTCACCCGTACACATGTCTGTTTTGAGAACCAACGGCCAATGGCCATTCCCGGGCAGTAGTTGAAAGAGGCCTTGATGCACGACGGTTCGCTCCGCACTATGCTGCTCCCAGAGAATCCTGATCCCAATACGTGCCGATTGCTCGCTTCACAAAAGAGCTGACTCGAGACACTCCTCTGGCCCTGGGAACCGGGTAATCCAAGCAAACTAGCAAGCTTCAACGGTGGCAAGAAAAGGTGAACGACTTTATGCACCAGTGTGATCAGGTATCACTTTCCCTAACAGTTAGATACGTCTACCATTGTTCATAAGATTCTGCAGTCGCGCCTTGTTGGTGGGAATGGCCTAGCTGGGCCTGCGAGGAGACCGTCAACTTCAATATAAAACGAAGGCACAGTTCTCTAACCGCACGCTAAGAGCTGGCATGAACCGAAGACTGCTGGCATATGGGCATCGTTTGTCACATAGTCCATGCTTGGGCACTACAAGCAAGTAAGCAAGCAAAGTGAAAGCATGCCCATGGCATTCCTCTTCGGTGGGCACCGGGCATCTTTAGACGGGCCGCGTTCCTATCAGAGACATATCTGCAAGTCAACACCCCCTCGCCTCGCAAGCTGCATCGTGCAGTCTCCGAGCACGAGCAGTGATCTCCTGACGGGTCGCGCTGAATGGCAGCGAAGTCTTCCCTCAGAATAGCAGCCGTTGTGTCAAGAGTAGTCTGGAAAGTCGGGATGCGTGGTGCCTCTGATGCTTGCACTCTCAGACTTAGCACCCGGAACCCTGACACCACCGGTTCCCCCTGCCTCAGCAATGTGAGTGTGGCCTGAGCGTGCCCAGGCCCGGAAAGCAGAGGCACCCCGCCCCCACACAGTTCACTATACCTATACAGGGAACTACAGGGGATACTGTTAGCAACGAACTATTCCGACCTCTACCATGGTACGCCTTTTAGAACCCTTTAAAGAACCCTTGCCCGCTCTGGCACTTGGCACTGTTGAAGAGTTCATGTTCGCTACAACTCTGAGCTCGGCTTCCTCCTGGGGCTCCTGCGGTGAAAATGCTGCGTTTCAGCTGACCTCTGTGGCTGCTCTCAGCAGCTTGCGGATTCGTAGGTCATGTTTTTAGCCCCATTTGACGCAAGAGAAATGACACATTTTGCATTCCTGGACTTGCTGGGGCACCCCGTTTGCACGCGAGGCTGCCGCCCTGGGTGCGGGACTTGGCATCCTCATCTTTTGCCCCTGCTTCCGGAGCGTGGGCCTTGGGGAAGGGCCCGCATCATGCAAATGTCGCCATGTATTGTATCAAGCGATGGCAAGGATCCGGTCATGTGCTGTCAAATGGCACCTGTGCACCTGTTGCATGCTGCTGTTGCCATGGTGACTGGCTGTAGCTAACTTCAGACTTCGATAGCCCTGCCCCCCGTATAGCTAAGAATGCCACGTTGCTTGTCCAGCCAGTGTCCTGCACGTCATGGCAGCTTATATCGGCAGACAACATGCGCCGAGACTTCAACTGGCCCTCCCCCTGATCCAAGAAACCTTGAGTCAAAAACGCCTCTCACTTACAGAATAAAGGCACTCAACATTCATCGCACCAAACTTGACAAGAAAGGCGTTGAAGACGTTTCAGCCGAAAAGAGGTGGAGGTCGGCCCATTTTTATTTGCCCCCTAGATGCGGGACGCGAGCATGCTTACACCTGGATTCCGGCACAGAGCAATTCTAAGCTCTGAATGCCTCAATATGCCAAAGCCTGGTTTCTCACCTGCCCACACCCATGGCGCCGAACTCTTTATCTAGGGCTTAGGAGCTCTAAGGATTTCGAATTGAGGGGCTACGGGTTTAGGGCTGGTATGGGCTGGTTGTAAGCAGTCTAAGTGCAATTGGTGTACTTCTTGCACTTGTCGCACCTAAGTCCTACACCCTGCCCCGTGGAAGTTTGCTAACCAACCTCCGGGCCTCGCGAGCGTGAGAGCGCTCTTCGGTACCCGGACGGCTGCCGTCTTCGAGAACCTGAGAACATCATGATAATCATGGTGATGATAACCGCAGATACTCAACAGTGATATATAATATGGTGCACATGATAGTCTATGCCTATGGGATACATACATGCATGCATACATACAGACTTACATACATACATGCATAAATGCATGCATGTATGTATGCATACATACATATATGTATATACATACATACATACATACATACATACATACATACATACATACGTACGTACTTCCTTACTTACATACATACATGCATACA